GTTGTTCATCAGTTGAAATACACTGCAGCCTGTGAGCAAATGAAGGGGGGTCCCCCCCCATTTCAAATTAAAGCAGTCGTGAAAAGCATTTTTCTAATTAGCAAGTCTCTTTATTTTAGAGCAAATAGCAGAATCCCTCATAGTATATTTTTTCCCCTCTTCTGTGTTTTTTCTCCTTGTAAATATGCCAGCTTGTTATAGTTATTTTCCTTCCCCTGTAGTCTGTGTGGGCTTCCAAACTGAGATGGGAGAGACACGTGTATTAAGACAAATTAAGAACACATGATCGCAAAAACTTGGAGGAAAACTTATGAATCACATGTGATATCTGAAGATAGCATTTGTTCCTTCTTTCATGCAGCATGTGTTACATGGGTACTGGTGTCCCTTGGAAGCTCTGGGCTCACAATTGGATGTGATCAGATTATTTCAGGTAAATGAGTGGCTGGGTAGCAGCAAGGCTGAAGTAACCATGAGCTGGATTTACCCAGCCATGTGGATAATTGTTTACCTCACAGTGAATCTGGAGATGTGATCTGTGAGCTATCAACAAAGGCAGAAATGAAAGGGAAGTTATAGTCATCACGCTTCCATAGTTTTACAGCGTCTGCATCAGCCTTGAAAAGACTCTGTAGTAAACAGGTAGAAAATCTTTAGTTTAGGGGAAAGCTTTATCCTTTCTCCCTCCCAGACTGGAATTTTATGGTCTTTACATTTCGCTATCAGATTTGGTGTAAAAGTGCTTGAATTTTAGTACAAGAGCTGTTCCCATTAACTTCACACAAAAACGGCCTCTTCAGAACTTTTTGCATGGGTATGGGTGAATCTTCACTCAGTGGTGTGTAAGGTTGTTCTCCGTTTCATGATACTTTAATTAATTGTTTCCTGGTTTTCAGCTTTGTAGTGGCTACCACCCATTCAATCTTAGCTTTATATTTTGGACAGGCCATTCTGTAAATAGCATTTCAAAGTCTACACAAGGAATGTAAATGTTATTCTAATTTGCAGCATCATTCAAATGCCCATATAACAGTTATCCTTGTGAAAGCAAATTGAATCTGTCACGTCATCTTCTATGGAAGTCTAATTCTTGGTAACAAAAGATATTGCAGCTGACAGATGGAGCTGCACACTACATAATTAAGTCTCCGTTGTATGTCAACTGTAGCCTTTCAGACACAATTAGTCTGACCAGTTCACCCACTTAGGGACTTGAAAAAAAATATATCCCTTAGGTGGATGAGAAGGTTTCTGTGGAAAATGAACTCCAAAATGCACTAAACAGGGGCAAATAGGATCATGTTCATGGCCAAAACTTCCACTGATGAAATCTGATGCAGCTCTTTAAGTCCTCCCTTTACCTTCTTTTCTTTTGCATTTATTATGTCCTGAGAGTAGCTAAGCATAAACTCTTCTCAGCAGGGAGGCTTATGGAGGCAGTGGATGGAAAATACATTTTCTTTAGAAAACCAGCTTTGGGAGCCCCCAGCTGTGCAAGAGATACAATTGTGTTACGTTTGTAACAGTAGATTGTAAAACTTGGGGGAAACTACAAAACAACAGCAAACTTCAGGAAAAGATAAAAGGTGCTTAGCGGCATGTGATGCATCCGGAATTAGTAATGAGCCTGATATACAACATGCTGATCTGGGTCTCAGAATCTGCCATGCTCGGGGATCTCTGTGTTGAGGACTTTTCTTCACAAAGATCCACACAGAAGAGGTTTTAGGTAGTCTGTTCCGCTGCTCTCCTGATGGATAGATGGAGAGACATAATGGTTAAACACCCTACAGTAATCCCCTCTGAATACATGAGGTGTTCTGGTATAGAAGAATACCTGCACAATACCAGATCCCAGGTTCTTCCTGTTATACCTGTATTTTTAACTTCCAAAGTTGATTCCATGTTTTTCTTATACGCAATCTTTTGTTCAGTCTTTCTTGCTTCGCTAGAACGCACACAGCCGTTGTCTGATAGTCATTATAACACTGAGCCAACAGCAGCAAAAGCAGCTCACAGAGTACAACTGTTTTTTTCACATTCCTCTTTACTTTTTAGGTATGCTTTGTTTCATTAAAAAGAAGTTTCATGCTGCTTTTATTACTCTGGCTACTAATGAAGGATAGGCTTATTAATTCAGAAGCTTTAATTAAATCACTTTCAGAGGGACCTGCTTGGCATGAAATTGCATTCTGTGTCTGACTGTAAGGAGGCCCTAGTGATACAGCCTTCCTTGTTGACCACTTGCGTTGGAGACCTCGATTTCAAACTGGGAGGAGGTCAGAAGGCAGGAGACACCAAGACAGAGTGCACAGAGCAGCACTCTCCAAATGCAGGGCTGCAGCCACCAACCCTCTCTTTTAGCTGTCTGTAACCGTGTCAGCAGACATCTCAGATGTAACCACCCATCCAGAAATGGAACTGGACCATGGCAAGCATTGCATATGTACTGCTGGTGCCTACCCCACAGCAGCATGCAGGAGATGAGGTGACCACATACACGGCAGCTTCCCTGGTCATTAGGGACAGTAGTCTGGAAGTCTAAACTAAATAGAGAAAAATAGGTTACCAAGAAGCAAGTTTGTTAACTTTTTCTGTACAACTACCTTAAAATGGGAAGACTTTCATGGCTGACCTTATTGAATTATTAGTTCAGGCTGGAGAGTCACCTTTAGCAGTTTAACTGAAGACTGGAGTGAGATTTACCACTTTTCTTGAGAAAGAAATCACCAGAAGGTATATACACATCTATGGCAGATGGGCATTCAGAGTAAAGGAAGCAAGGTCCCAGAACTTGGTTTAACTCTGTGGCTTACATCAGGTTTGGTTTTAAGATTTTTAAGAAATAAACCTTTTCTTGAACAAAGGAAAAAGGATTGAATCAGTCTAGTTCAGGGAGCTGTGCTTGAAGGTGAACTTGCCCTCTGACCTGCCTTGTGCATGCTGCCCACCCCAGTCTGGCATAGATCTCCAACTCCGTTTAAAGACAGCTTTCTCATCCCATTTCCCCATTTCTCTGCTTTCCCCCAAGCTAAACAAGTTACAGTGCTTTCCTCAGGCAAAATGCATTATTGAGAATGCCGTTACTCCCATTACTCAGTAAACCACAGGTGGAGTCAGCCAGGAAATATTTTTCCTGGCAGCCATCTAAAGAATAGGAAAAGATGGAGAAAGTGGCTTGATTTCATCTTGCAGACTACAACCTGATCAGTCCCCTTCTGACCCATGCTTCTGGGATCTGCACTCTGATCTGATGTGGTTTGAGCCATTAAAGTCCTGGGCCTAATGGGGCTGTAGCGCTGGGAAGGTCTGAGTCAGGTCTTGCATGCGGGTGTAAGGCAGGAGAAATCCCAGAAACAGGACCTCGCCACTGTGAATCCAACTAAAAGCCATAATAACCACGATACATCAGGAAGAAGACCTACCTAAAGAGGGGAATGCTTTTATCTCAAACACTGAATTTACAGTAATTAACAATTATAAACTCAATTGCAGTATTTTATAGGCTGTCCTTCCTCTGACTCTGGAGAATGAAAGTTAATGGAAATACACGTGATAATACTTGCTGGCTGAAGGGCTTACATTAGCTGATCTAGTACCTCCAAATGCACACTTAGGTAATAATACACTAGATGGATCAGGGAGGAATGAGATTATTTTTTCTGAGAGATAATAAACACGTTTCTCACTAGGCTCAGCTGGAATATTACTGCTGTTCATATAGGCAAGTATTTTGTTGGAGAGATGAAGTGTTGCGTTTAAACTTGTTCATTACCAGAAATGTGACAAATACTGAGCTAATATCATGTCAACAATAAACTGGGGATAATGCATTTCCTCTCCTCCTAATAGATTTTTTCCTTACATATAATCATAAGCAATACTAAAAAAATACAATAGGGAAAATAAAAGGGCTACTGGAAGATGTCTGTTCTCTGGGATATGCAGTTCTTTTGATTTGAAGTATCAGGGGCAGAGAGGATGAAAATAATTTGTTTGGGGATTATCTACACGCGGAAAGAAACTTGATAATCATTCAAGTGAGTAGCTGCTGCGTTTGTTTGCTGCAGTCGTGCCTAGTGATCGTTGTTCAGTTCAGTGAGATTATTGTTTCCAGAGGTGGGAAGTGAAGGAGAGTTCGTTACAGTGCCTCTGCATCCCTGTCACAAAAGCAATAGCAGCTACTTAGCAGGGCTTGCACACTGGAGGTGTGTTGGTTGGCTCTACAATATTCACTGACCAATTAGTGGTGTGGTTTTTTCCTTAGGAGAACACAAACAGGAAGGTTTAATACTCGGATTAGGTTAGTCCTCAGAAAAGGCTTAGTGGATCTTCGCTACAACATAGCTCTTAATGGCAAATGTATAATTATGTTTTATAAAGATTTTATGAGAATGGCCAGAATAATATTAATGATGTGTGAACATAGGTGGCAAGACTAGATTTATGTTTCAGGCTATTACATTTTACAAGCTGGAGTAGAGAACAGAGGTAATTAACAAGAATAATGAAAGCACTACCTTGCCATAAATCACTGTTAAAAAAGAGTAAATAATAGAAGACAAAGGGATTACGAGTCAAGCTCAGTCTTATTTGTCAATTTTAGAGCAGAAGGGCGGGATTAATTAGTGAGATGGCATAGCCTTTGTTTGGTGCTCTTCTGTCAGGGGGAACAAACATCTGATTGAACGCAAATGACAGTGATTGCCTTCTCCATGCCTCTAATCAGGGCAGGGAATCTCATTTTGCCCTGCTCTTAAGGAAGCAAAGGGGGTAATTAGCAGGCATGCTGGACTGGGGGATTTTGCAGTCCTGATTGCAGATGAGGGTAACAGTGTCGCTAATCTGTGATGGAAAAGCACCCACTTCTCCAGCCATCTCAGTTTTCTATGAATTGTTTAGTTCCAGTTTTTAATCTGCAGTGCTTTGTGGATCAGAAAGCAAATCGGCCTCCACTGGGAAGACCCTTATCTATTAATTACTTTTTCCTCTTATCCTAGGAGAAGACATTTCTCATGCTGAGCCACAGGAAGTTGATGCTGAATTTCAGTAACAGCAGATGTTACAAGGATGCTATCAAAATTCTGAGGCAAATGGGCTCTTCGTGACCAGCTTCAAGCAGAGCCCCAGCATCTTCTCCATGTGTTTCCTTCTCATGTCTCAAGGCAGCAGCTCACCTTCAGCTAAATTTACCCTTTCTCCTCATTCTGTTTAATCTCGTGAGGGGAGTAGCTGTATATCTGCCCTGCAACTCGCTTTTGCAGAGCAGAAATATTTGACCTTTGCAATGCATGAGATCGCAGAGACAGCACATGCTTTAACATATGCCTCTAGTCTGATCTGCAAGGGCTTGAATTCACCACTGCCTTTTGTGTGCATCGGCAAGTTCAGTCCTGACTACAGTGAATTCTGCAGGATCCTCAAAGGTTGTTAAAACCTAGGACTGGCTCTGTGCTGTGTTCCTGGCTCCTAGAGTGATATTGTGATAGCTTTTCTTCTTTCTTTATATATGGGATACATCCTCAGCTCCTGCAGGAGGGAGGTATAAGACTCTTCTTTTGCTGTTGTTCGTAGCTTATATTTGCACACAATGTCCTTTGGACAGGCCAGTGTTAACTTGCTGTTAGAAGCCTCTGTTGTATGAAAATCTCGTGACTTATGCACTGCTGTGAACATGTGGGCACCAATGCAGATAAGCATGGTGTGACTACTCAGAAAGCAGGGCATTACAGCTGACACAGCCTGGGAGTGGGGTCACCATTTAACACAAGCACACAGAATAAAGTGAGGGGCTCAGCCATCCTGATTAGGGATAGATCTTTCCCAAACTAGGATATGCTATTGACTTCTGATATTGTATCTACCCTGCTGAATAACAGTCAGTCATCTCCCAGCAAGTTCTCCTTCACCTCCAGTGTCACAAAAGAGACAAGGCACCATTTCCCTGTGAACCTTTAGCATACAGATGGTGGTGAAAAAAGGAAATAACATGGCAGATGCTTGCTCAGCCTGGAGAGGACTATGCCCATCATAACCTGAGTCAGAAACTAACAGTGTGTATTCTGGGACTTAAGCACCCCTCTCCCCAAAATGGGAAGCTTAGTAGAGAGATCCCAGAGGGAGGTTCTCTCCACAATGTAAATGTGCATTTTCCAATGGATAAACAAAATATTTAGCAAAGTTTCTAAGTATTTTTTCTTAATATTTTAGCTGATACAAGGATTGTTTCATTGGAAATTGTTTTGTATCCTAGCTGTTCCCCTCAGGGATGAGCAAATATGGACCGAAAACATGACTGACTGGAGAGAGAGCTTTTTCATCCTGATTGTCTTGGGCTGTGATTTTGACTGACTTTACAGACTAAGGGATAAGATAGTTGGTACTTGTAGACACATTTGATCTTTCTTGCCAAGAGGACATGCTGCCATTCTGATAAGGAAAAGTAATGCCAAGTTACTTTGCCATTCACACAACTCAAATCTGTTTCTGCAAGCAGTTTGCCAGATTGTGATATAGATCAATATAGCCTCTTTACTAATCCCTAGCTGAGGGCCATTTCATTTGCACTTGGTGTCTGTGTAGTCTGAGGTGAGTGGAGGGGTTCTTTGCACTGCTGAAGATTTGCTGCAAGGCATCATGAGAGATGGCTATTGCACTGCTGGGTAAAAAATCCTAAACATATGCAATGTGCTGTAGAGCACTAAGGCATCCCTTGAAAAGTAATGAAAAATGGACTATTAATTATTGTTCATTATTGCGGATGCAAAGCTTGTGAGCCAAGTTTAATTAAATACAATGAAGAGTTGTCCCATTTCAATGACAGATTTTTTTTTTTCCTTGATTGAAGCACAATGTTTCAGTTGTCTGAAAATATTTGTAGCTTCAGGAGAAGCTTTCTTCATCTGAAAAACACTTATGTAAAACTGACGCTGCATTCCTGTGTCTAAAGATCTGATTCTCTGGGTATAATTGCATTGACTATTTTGAGTTTCAGACCTAATGGATAAAGGTACAAGAACAGTGTCCCTGGAAATCCCTGGAGTTTTCAGTTTGTTGACGGGCTATTCTTTATGTTCATCTCCCTGTCTTTGTATCTAGGCTTGGTGAGTAAAGCACAGCTACCTTTGAAGTAGGCCATTGAAAATCAGGGGAGGAGAAGAGAATCTTCAGGGGCTAGTTGTGGGCGTGTGGAGGCAGGGGGGATTTTTAATGGGATTTAATGGAGCTGGGAGCTGGGTTACTTAAGACTGGTGCAAAGATCCTTTGTATTGACAATTCAGTGTATGAGCCATAAACTCTTCACTCTGTGCATATAAAAGATGAAAGGACCAATTACTTACTGAGGCATTAAACACCCAGGGGACAAAAATGCCTGTCTAGCAATAGTAAACATATTGACTGAAGCCTATTTTGAATTTCAAATTGCCAAATGTCCCAATTTTTGAAAAGCTTCCTATGATAACCAAGGTCTGGAAAGTCAATTGAAACTTAATTCTCCTGGATATCTCATGGGGAGAAAGTACATGAATCCGGACAGATTCAATTATTTAATTTTAATGAAAAAAAAAAGATAGATAGCTGCTTTATCATTTCCTTATAGAGTAGTAGGTGGGAATACAGCTCCTTTTTCTAAGATGTTAGCCTAGGATAAATGACAATAGAGGTCTGTCTGCTAAACACAGGTTACCAAGAGATTAATGCCCAAGGATTTTTTGCTTCCGCTTGTCCCTACATCTTCTTTCTCCACCTTGTGGGATCAGGTCTATCTGACATGTCAGCCCAGACCAACTATGATTTTGTCTACAACTAGTGCAGATAGTACTGACAAAGCCATGCGAAGGGGCTCTGTTGTGGGGTGCTGTGCATCCACACATTGCAAAAGGACACGTTTACTGTCTCATCTATTAGAGTCTTGCAGAGCAAATCAGCCACAGGTCAGTGCTGCTGCTATCAGCATCATGCCAGTAAGATATCCTGAGACTGCTGCGAGGACAAAATGAGTCCTGAGGTCAACTAGGGGAAAAAGCGGCTACAGTCTGCCCAGTATCTTCACTCTGACCATCTTTTTGGGGTGTTTGAAATCCCCACTCCATCAAATAGTCCTGGGGCAAGCCAGGGACATGCCATAGTCTCAGAACCCATCAGGTGGTTGCTGATGTTTGCAGAGCTCCAGTTGAATGAAAAGTTACAACTAATTCTCACTACTCTCTCCACATTCATTAGTAGAAGAGTTCATTGTGATTAATGCCATTACTGTGAATACCAATGGAATTAATTATTTTCTGTCCTGAACAGCATTGCCCAAAAGGTTGACTCCACATAAAACCATAAAAACAATTAGTGCAGTGTTATTGTGGGTGTTTATTGCTGAGTTAATTTTCTTTTTGTTTTTACTGTAATGTCATACACAGAGCAAAGGTCCACAACAGCAGCAGGGGTGTTATCAAAACCTCAAAGGAATTTATCCTCCCCTTTATATGCTCTGCACACACAGAGCAAGCATCCATAATCATAACAGTTGGCTGTGTGTGTACTGCTGGGCGGAAGAGACACCTACTACTTACTGTACGTCTGTCCTTGACCTTGGCATAATAAGACTTTTATCAGATGCAGTAAAAAAGAACACCACTCAGTGCTTCTGTCTGAGTGAAACTGATATTTGTTGTTGCTTTTGTTCTAATCGATCCTCATTAAAGGAGAACAAGTTGCTGCATATCAGCTACATTCAGCTGATTATGAAAGAGATTTCATATCTCTGCCTTTGTTTCTGGTGGTTTCTGTTGGGATTCCCATCATGCAGTCATTTTTCTGTATTCCATTTTCTCTCTGTCTTGGTGTACAGTCGTAACTGAAGGCAAGCATTTATCACCACAACAGCTTTAAATATCAAATGCTTGATGAATTTACCCTCAGCTGGCCGGAAGCAATACTGTGATTGCAGCATTTTATAATCATCAAGACTTGTTTCTCTAAGCTGAATTCATTTGCATGAGCAATGCGTTATTAGCAAAGTTGCTGGTAACTAGCATGTACAAGCAAATTGTGGGAGAAGACTCCTGCTGTTTGTGCTTTCCTTGGGGAAACTCGACTTTGTGAGGTGTTTTAAATGCATGAGTGAGGAATTGTATCCAAGGGCAAAGGATTAAAGTGGGTGCAAGGCATATAACTCCATGTCGCATAGATCCCGCAGGCCAGGCCCTCTCACTGGCCATACAGGGCATTCCCGTGGTCTTACCTTGGGAGTATTTACCCCCAGCCATGGTCTTACACAGTACAGTCAACTGAGAACTAGGGTTTGTAATGTCAAGTCAAAGATACAAAGAGAAATACTTCTATTGTATAAACTCAACCCATCATTCAGCTGTGCTCAAGAATTCTTCATGAGTTAACTGTGTACCAGCAGATCAGGTATCTCTTGTCCTCCTTTATGCAGCTAGAATATAGCCGATTGATGCTCCATGTCATGCATGCTGGCTTAAATCGACCATGTTTATCCTTCTCTAAACCTGGTATTAACATTTAGGTGGGCTGGTAGCATATGGATCTGGAGGGGTGATTGGCATAGCATTTGTTCTCACTCCGTTGGATAACTTCTATTTAAGATGGTGGAATGTTTATCATGGCTCGGGATGAACTTTTGTGTCTGAAGCAGCAGCTTCAGCTATTCAGTTATTCCTTTCCACAAAGCTTCTTAAATGCTTCTGACAATTATTTTAAGTGGAACACAGTGTTTATGCTTCCCAGCCTCAATGAGGTTTCTCCAGCTCATTGTGGTATTTATTGCTGTATTAATTGCTCAGGTACAAAAGCTCGTGGTGGTGTGCAAAATGCTAATAAGAGATTTTAATGACTGCAAACCTCCCTCTCCCTCTCCAGTCTGTGCCTTATTGATGTTTTCATTAAACTGTCCAAACAGCGAGGCTGGTACACATACCAAAATGTTTCCTTTTCATCAGAGAAAAAGACAGATCCTAAAAGAAATTGGTGCCAGACAAGCAGCTCTGAAGGATGAACAAAAGCACACTGAATAATCATGTAAGAACTGACAGTCGGCAGAGGGAGAGGATGGGCCTCCATAGAGCTCACAGAGGGGCAGGTGGTGGTTGGATGCTAAAAGGCAATTTCTGCATTTTTGAGAAACGGGTCCTGATCTCACAGGAGGCATGCAGGTACCAATGGAGCATACAAAGCTTGGGAACAAGCGCATATGGAAAAATCTAGGGCTTTAGATGCTTGTGTGTAATTGTGAAAGACTGAAACACACACAGAAACTGATTTACCAACACTGAGGTACCTCTTTTAGAGGAATCTCCTCATTGCCTTGGGATGGAGGCAAAGGACAATAAGAGGCACTATTAGAATTTCCAGGAAATTCTTCCATAAGTATGCTGAGGCGAAGGTAATGAGGATATCCTCTGGGCAGCTTTTGGGTGCATCCTTGCAAGATAATGGGAAGACCTGTTAGCTTGAAGGCTCTTGTAGCCTTTCTGAAATCATTTACAATCCCATCCACTGCTGCAGGGGTCTTAAACAATATTGAAGAGGGGGGAAAAAGCTCTGAGAGAGGGTGGGGAGTTAGGGCCAGAAGCTTTTGTGGCAAGATAGAGAAAGACATATAGCATGTGCATCCAGATCAGGTGAGACTTCCCACAGCCCTGAACAGCAATCCCTGAGTTGCTTTACTCCAGTGTCTGATACGTGGCTTTTTGGTAACCGCTGCTGCTGCTTCTTGAGATGGGGGGGACA